CCAATATTCTGAATACAAGGGTGTGTTCGGTGTCACGTAACATGTTTTTTTTGTTGTAACTCTGGGTCTCTTGTGGAAGTATGTAGATGGCTGCAGTCGACTTTACATTTCTGGGTGTACGAGGGTTCCTGGAGGGAAAGAAAGCAGCTGATTTCGAAACGTCCGTCTCGCTGTGTCTTGTTCTTCGACTAAAAGTTTTGCTTTTTGAAACGTAGTCACGGGCACTGAAAAACGCATCAGTGTCCGCTAGCTCTCTTGCACCCGGCTGTTATCATGTGAGGACCACGCAAACTATATCCTAAGATAAGTAACCAAAACAATTACGAGATTCTGCTCTTTGTAAAGATTGATTTTATACATTTAGAATTTCTCTCTAAGAAATGAAACACAAATTACCCCACTGGACGAAAAAAAGGAACTCCGTTCTTTTCTACGTTCCAGTAAAAATGTAACGAGTTCTCGTTCCAGTTTTACCGATGAAAAATAGAAAAGCGGTGTTCCTTCATTCCTTCTAAAAGGAACGCATTCCAGGAACGCTGTTCCTTGGAACGCCGTTCCTTGGAACGTAGTTTCGTACCGCATTGCGACGAGAGTGGCGGCCGAAAGCGCGCCATTCTTGGCGCCGAGAGGAACAGTCCCAGATCTATCCCCTTTTGAGGAAAGGAATAGAAAGTCATTGTGAGCAGTCGCGCATACTTCAAACATTTTTCTGGAGTGCTGATAGGCACCTTGGGGGGATCACATTGCTTCTAGGTGTTGCTGCCAGCATGGGAAAGAGTCGGTCAATTATAGGGGTCACCTCAAACCTCTTTATCAAGGCCACTTCTACTACCGTACTGGACCAACATGTATTGGCTGGTTGGGGATGTTCGGAAATACGATACTAATGTATCATGGCAGACATGTGGGGTATTCTGAACATCTGCCCTCCCATTAGAGTATAAGCAACACTCCCAGATCAGGTGCAGAAGGCCAGTTCTGCACTTCGTTCTGCAGTGATTGCATCGAGGTGGTGTATCCGCGCCTAGCGAGTACCATTTCCTGGCGATGTGCACTGTGAAGGCTGCGTCTGACAGTACTTTGTTTAAGAATACTTCCTGAGCACACAAGGAGTCGTAGTTGCGGATCAACTTGGGGAGCAGGTGTTATTGTTTTAAGGAATCGGTTACGTTGCTGGCGTTGCTTGGTTCTGGTAAAAAAAAAAAAAAAGATAACATCGATATGTCAGTTGTGACGGGTATGTGGTCCATGCGTATAGGAATTGAGTGAGGGGTTGAGAGGAGGGTAAGGGGCTACTGAGCCAATACACTCTCGGGGCACGCTAGCTATGTTACGTGCCGCTGCGTTTCCTCCCGTCAAGCCGGTATGTGCTGGTGTCCATTGAATACGTAGGACGAGACCCAGCTCTTGTAGGTCGTGCATTCGCTTCCTTATAGCCTGAACAGTGGCCTCACCTGTGTAAATGTTTTCGATTTTTCCTAGCGCGCCTTTGGTGTCTGTGAGTATTCATATAGAGTCCTGTTGTGGTTGCGGGTCAAGGATTGAGGTAACCTTTCGCCATATCGGCAGGAGTTCCGGTTGTCGGACGTCCCCGTTTAGGAGGCGACAGGTCTGGGCGCAATTTAAATTCCGGTCGTGTGGGGCAGTGCCAGGCCATTTTGCCCTTGCCGTAGTTAAAGCTGGTTCCTGTGCAGATGACGGTGTTTTTCTGTTCCAGTTGTTGGCGCTGATTGGCAATACGAATTTCAAGGCTTCTTGCTGTCGGGATGGAGTTGACTGGTGTCTCGCTTGAATAGTCGGGCTCTCCCATGGGGGATCAGACTGGAAGCCCTGTTGTCTAGGTATGCCAGCTGGTTCCATGCTAGAGTCCTTGCACCGTGTCTTCAAGTCTATCTGAAAGGGCCTCTTGGGCATCATAGCATCTTACACTTTTAAGCGGTAGAGTCACCAATTCGATCAGCCGGTCTGTCCACGAGTGTTTTGGGAGCCTTGTGATGGTGCGGAGAGTCGCACGATGTAAAAGCTCCACATTTTCTATATTTTTCTGCGAGATGACGCAAATTGGAAAGCCATATAGGAGTTTACCGACTGCGACTGCCCTGGCCAATGTCTGACAGGCCTTCTGTCGCGGACTTCCGTAATTGTTCGAAATTCGACGTATGACATCTAGTAGTGGGGTCCACTTTTTGTCTGAGTTGTCGGATTCGCGTTTGCGGACTGTTGCAGCTTGCTAGCTTCACTCTTAGAATACAGTGTTGTTTATTCTTGAACGTAATGGTTTCACTTCCTATGTACATTGTGATCTGTTGAGTACGATTGGCGCGAGTTTTTCCGTCGATGGTGATCAGCTTCGTCTTCTCCACGTAGAGTTGGAGTTGATTTCTTCTAGTGGCTGTGCAACACTGAGTAGCGCTGCTTGCAGCTCCGCTTGCATTGCCTCTTTGTCAGAATAGTGAGCAGCTTCCACCCATATAGTTAAATCGTCTATATGGTGAACCGATCCGCAGTATCTCGTTACAGATTTTCCGCGACTCTCTTCATGGCCAGGTTGAAGAGCATAGGCCCTGAGGTGGAGTCCTGGGGGATCCCCCTATCAAAGAAGTAGGTCCTGGGTGTTGATTTCGGAGCCGTGCCTTTTAGCTGTATTGGGCGTTGCTGTAAGAATCGCCGTATCCAGTCCCGTGCCTTCTGGTTGGGATAGCGGGATGTCAGCTCCTGAAGAATGATTCCTGAAATACATTATCAAATGCTTTACGCATGTAGAAGGCAAGTACGTAGTCAGCTAGGGAGGCTTCTTCTACTGTTTCTGTTGATCACCCGTCTCAGTAGCCAAAGGCAGCTGCGGGTGCCCATAGTCGGGCAAAACCCCACCTGTGACGGGCGAAGTTTAGGATCCGCATATTCGATCTGGTATTGTATTCGCTTGTGCAATATACGCTCCTAAGCTTGCATGCTTTCGAAGTAAGAGGTATCGGTTGCAGTTTTCTGGGGTTTGGTTGGTTTTTACCCTGTTTTGGTATGAGATATGTGAAGGAGAGTTAGAGGCATCTAGGGACGGTCCAAGTGTCCCAAGAAGCATTGATAGCTTGCAGCAGTTGAGTTAGGGCGTGCTCTGGTGAGTTGCGCAGTTTCTGCTAAGTGATGTTGTCGTGCCTGAAGCAGACCGCAACTTGCCTTTTTTAAGGTCTGCCATCAGTTTTCTTATAGTGAGAGGTTTCTTGAGTTTTTAAAGTAGTTGGAGAATAACGATGCGAGGCATCGGCTCTCGCGAGGTTGTTCTAGCGTAGGGAACGAATATGCGAATGACTGCATCCTCCATGCTCTCAGGGTCAGCTTTAAGGAACAGGGTGTTAATTGGCGGTGTACCTTTCTATCGCCCCAGCATAGAAAGAAAGGAACTCTAGAGTGCCTTTAACTCAGGCTTTCTGCCAAGTTTGTCACATAAGGTCTGTCTCAAGTTATTACTGGTGCTGTTGAACGGTCTGATAGAGGTGTTTGAGGCGAATACAATGTTTGTATCGCCTTCCCCCGTGCTGGCAGGCAGGGCGTTTCTTTGCTATTCTCTGCACAACTCAAGGCATATTCCATATGCCGTAAGATAAACAAGTAGGTGAGTAAGAAAACAAACTGCGGCACATCTCGCAACAGCAGGGTGTCTAGCAAATTATTATTTTGAAATTCCGTGACCTTTGCAGGTTTTCCCTGACAAATGTAGAGGCGGGTAAATACACAAGGAATTGAGCATTAAGCCCTGTGAGGATCATTTTGCACGGGCTTAATTCAACTTGCATATTCTGAAATATTAGGGTTCGTCCAGTCCGGATTAAACGCGCACTTTCTTGCCGCCGACATCATCAATGAAGGGTCCTCTTCCGGAAACACAATGACAACACGACGCTCAACCACACACGTCAATTTCGGGTACTTTCGGCTTAAGGCTTGGATTGGATTGGGGTCTGCAGTGTTCCCGCTTGTTACTGAATCCGGTAGCTCTAACTGGACCTAGCCTAGTTTCGTGGCATCAATCCAATCCAATCCAATCCAAGGCTTGGACTGGATTTGTCGGCTGTTCTTTTTGCATCGGGTAGAACACTCTTTATTGGGTGAGCAGAGCCCGCGCTCAGCTCTAAGCAGAATTCATTGCCTATTTTCCGCCCCCAAGTTCTCATGTCTTTGCTCAGGACACTCAGTGGCATTTCCGGCTCATTTTCCCTGACTGGGCTCGCGTGTTAAGAATATCCCTGACAATTCCCTGATTTTTCCCAGTAACTAAAATTTCATTGACAGTTCCCGATTTTCCCGGTTTTCTCGGTCGCTAGACACCCTGCGCAGGACCAAATACACCCAAAGTGAGAAGGAGCTTGTATATCTGATCCCACTCTCATGTGATCGTTGTTACATTGGGCAGACCGGAAGGCACAACAACGAGCGAACGAGAGCACGCAACTTTGGTGAAGGTTATCACCACAGCAGGGCACCTTTCAGCTTGGCGAACCGGCTGTATATTGGCCCGGTATCGTCGTCACAGCGGATTTCCTCCCTGGATTGCTGCCTTGTCTCTCCGACTCCATCTGCCAGCGTGTGAAAATCAGCTATGTGTTGGTTCAACACTGCGCGGAATTTGACCCAGTTAGTTTTTGTCCCGGTGGTCTAAATGCGAAGTTCCTTGCGATCTATACTCCGCGACAACTTTTCTTGGCAATGCAGTGGAAGGTACAGGCCCGCGTCCCCTCTCCCATTTTGAGTGTGCGCGGGCTCTCCTCCTCTCCCCGGAAATGGGGGAGGAGGAGAGCCTGCGTACACTCAAAATGGGAGGGGGGACGCGGGCCTGTACCTTCCACTGCATTGCCAAGAAAAGTTGTCGCGGAGTATAGTGTGATTATTATAGGGGAGTGGTCACTGCCCCATGTAGTCTCATATGTCTCCAAGTGAGGAATCATTCCTGTCATGGTAATCGTCAAATCAGGTGAGGTGTCCGTTTGTTTGCGATGGAGACCTACCTATGGTGGGCGTCGCGGGTGTGATGACGGCTTTGAGTTTGTTGGAGTCAATCGCCTCAGCTAGCATCTTACCCCGGGTATCGTCGTTGGGGCATCCCAGTTCTAATGCCGAGTGTTAAAGTCTCCCCCTATAATTATAGAAATACCAGCTGCGTATTTCTTAAGGCCAGCCAGCGATGAGTAATCGTCCTTTGAGTTGCTTCCCGTGAAAAGGTCGATAGTATATCGATGCTATGGCTATCGCCTGCTGGCAAAGAGGTCCTACTTTTACTGTAGTAATTTCTTTAACGTCATTACCCAGGTGTGGTATATCAGCCTCGATAGCTACGCAGTCAGTTCTGATAAGCAATGCTGCTCGTCCTATTGCCAACGGCTGCTTTCGACCTTTACACTGACGTGTTATTATGGGTTTCTGATACGTTCTATAAGTTAGCGAGAAAACATTCTTCGCGTGTTTCTTCAAGTAAAATAGCAATTGGTTTGAAATGCCCGACTAGTTCTCAGCGCCTGTATAGAGCCAATGTATAGACTAGGGTCAGAAGGCCACTGAGGATCCGGTAATTCGCGGCGTTTAGGTTCTTCTGTAGCCTGTTCAAGATAGTGCATGATCTCAGAGAATTTTTCGTTCATTCTGGTCTGCAGTTTGGTGGCTTCCATGATTTTGTCGGTAACCAGTTGTTTAGGTTTTCGCCAATCGTTCGCGCGGTCTTGTCGGAGAATATCGAGCACTTATGTGTATCTGAAGTCTTTCCGCAGTAACGATGGCGCCTGCGGTCATGCTGGCGGTTTCCTAGTAGGCGAACGGTTTTTGCGGTCTCGTGAGCGAGAACGCGAGCGTGATCGTAATTCTTGCTATTGCTTTGGGGACGATTCAGCGGAGCATCGGCTTGCTGTTTCCTCGAGAAGTTTCTCAGCCATTTGCGCCGTAAGCTGGCACAGCTGTTCTTTGAGTTATTTTTTTTCTTTGCGCAGCTCGTCCAGTTGCCGCTGGATTTCAGGAGTAATTGTAAACTGCTGAGAGGCTACTTTCTCTTGCGGCTTAAAGAGATTGCTTGCCCAGGATACCCGTTTATGCTCGGCCGTTTGCTTTTTGTGTTGGATTGGCTGATTGAAGATGCGACCGGGGCATGCTGCATTTAGCGAAATGTGCCCGTGCTCTTGGCACACCACGTACAAGACTTCGTGGTCAAAGACGTCGGTGAAGGGGGGGGGGGGGGGGGGAGGAGGTTGTTTTTGCTCGCAGTTCCTACAGACTGTCTTCGCTGGACAAACTTTGGCTATGTGCTCCAAGTTGGTGGCAGTTATAACAAGCAATAAGCTTATGTCGGTAGGGGTGGACACGCACGATCTCATAGTCCAAAGCAAGGGGCGTGGGAATTTCCGCGGAGTCAAAGGTAATCAGGAGCATCTCGGACGTCCCCAACAGTTTGAGGTCGAGAATCGAAGCCGTTTTGCCACGAAGCCGTTTTGCAACGAGTCCGGCATCTAGAGAACTCGCAGAACGGACATGACACTGACTTTGTGGCTTCGTGGCAGATACGTTGCTGTCTTCGTGAAGTCCCAGTCACTCTGCTTAAACATATTACAAAATACACAATGTTGTCTGCAGACATGATGACATTTATCTGGGGACACTTCCCAGGCATGTTAAGGTGTTGGCTTCGAACATGTGCATGCTTCGAACTAGGGCTGGGCAATTGATCGATTAACCTTCCGATTAATCGATTAAGGGTTTAATCGCGACCAATTCTTTTAACCGGTTAATCAGTTTTTTAATCGGTACTCAAACAGAAGTCAACTGGACGTACGGATGGCTCTATCCTGGACGACCTGCCTGAACTAGGGGTGACTCATGCCCCCCCCCTCCTTCCGTTAAGGAAAACGCTGCGTGGCGTGTATCCGGTCGTTCTGTCCCGAGCGGTTTTCCGTTCCCAGCCAGGTGCTATGAGCAAGGTTCGATTCTAGCGCTCGCGAAGCGTCACGTGCTCGAGGATAGACATTACAGTTCTGCCGAAGCCAGACGAACAAGCCGGGCCCGCAATTGATTCCCGGGCGACCGCGAAACTTTACGTCTTGAGGATCTATTACACATCCTGCCCAGGCAAGACAAACAAGCAAAAAACAACCTGGGAAGCTAACAACGCCATGGTTACTTGTTTCAGTATTCGGCCCGTAAAAATGGACGAGTACACGAGTATGAAAGGCAATCTCGCTGGAAAGTTTGGGTTTAAAGTAAACTCCAGTGGTGAAGTTTTTAACTCGAAGGAAGTCCACTGGATCATCTACAAAAAGCCATTTTCGTACAGTGGAAGCGTAAGTTCGCTTCAGTATCACCTACGAGCGAAGCACCCATGTACGCCGCTGCGGCAAGGATCATCGGCCAAAACGCAGACAACAATCAACGCCTTCTCCCCCCACCGAGGTTCCTTTCTCTAAAAAAAGAAGAAAGCATCGCCCAAGCCCTGACTTCTTGTCTTCCTGCCGGAGAATGTGGACAAACTTCTTTGTCTTCGGAGCTGGAGCAAAAATATGTGAATCTGAATCGTTGAACTATATGTATCCTCAATTCTAAATGTCCTTTGCGCGTGTAACAGAGAGTAAAATAAGTCTTCAAAGGCAAGACAAGTTGTTGCCCACTCCTTTTAATATAGTATTTATAAAAATCAAAGCAACCGATTAATCGATTAATTGATCGATTAAAGGGTGGCGATTAATCGGGTTAAAATTTTTAATCGACGCCCAGCCCTACAGTTCGAACATGTCTAAAGATCATTGTTATTACCAATGTGACACAAAGCAATCATTCAACTAAAAAAAAAAAAAAAAAACCTCAGACACTGTAGATGGGTTTTGTATGACGCATTAGCAGTGTGACCACCGCTTCACGTTTCTCTAGGCCAGGGGCCTCAAACTTACGCCAGTTTGAGGAACGGGATCATCGACCCCCGAGAGGTCGGAGGGCCAGTGCAGGGGAGGGAGGCTTTGGAAGGTGTAAAAGTACAGAAAGTTTTGAGAAAAGGACCTTATGCTTTCTGCTTTTTTGAACAAATCGCTTTTTGAACTGGCATCTTTTGCTTGGAATTGTTTGCCCAAATACTGAAGGCTCGCGTTTATGACAATAACACGATTAGAAAAAAAAAAACAGCAACAAAGAACAATAGATTTGTCATGCTAACAAAGGTCAGGAAGCACATAATGTGGTATGAATGAGTTGGGCAAATGCTATGTGTTGTGTGTGATGTCACCTGACGTTATGACGTCACATGACCTACGTCACAGATTTTCACGTGACACCCTAATATAACACGACACCATGACATCACATAATGACGTCAGATGACACTACGACGTTAAGTGACTGTGATTTCACTGTGCCACGTGACGTCATATGACGCCGACGTCTCTCGACGTCATGGTGCCAACTGACGCCACGGTGTGATGTGACGTCACGCTTTCCCGTGACATCTCGATGTCACATGACGCCATAATGTTACAGTCCTTCATGACAGTTCTTCATGACGGTTTTCTTGTAGATTTTGCCTGATAAAGCACACTCCGTGCTGATAAAAAAAAGTGCGCTTGATTCCCAAAGAAGTAACATAAAAAAAGGCTAACCGCCATACGATTCCCCGCCCACGTAGAAGTCGTTGTCGATGTACTTGGGGAAAAGCGTAACGACTACCGCAGGGCCTCGAACAAGTTCCTGGAAGTGTCGTTGACGTTGCAAGCGCAGCCTTCCTCCGGTTCCGTGAAGCTGAAGCCCGCGCCTACGGGTTTATTCACATAGAGCGCGGAAAAACGGTTGACCCACGTGACGTAGCGCAAATCTGACGAGTCGTATTCAAACACTAGGTACGGTCCGTGCTTTGTGAAGTTGCTGAACAGCGACGTGGGTCCGGGACACACCCTGGAGCCAGATCAGCAAGGGCGCATTGTGCGCTTAAACCTGGAAAGGGTCGCACACAATATTTTTATTTAAAAAAAGAAAAAAAACTGCCTGCGCGAGATTATTGGTTTTTCGCCTTCGATGGGAAGAACCAGAAAAAAAGGTTGCTGCCCAGCTTAACGTCGGCGGTGAGGAAGCCGGAGTAACCGGGCAATGCAACCGGGCACGTCTTCCACCTGGCCGAGCGAGCCGGCATGGGTCAGGTTTTTGGTGGCTCAGTTGTCCAGACTCAATAAAAGGCGTAAGGTATAGCGCGCTGCCAACGCTGTCTTCGTCGCTCGTATTGGAGGCTGCGTGGCTGCAAAACAGTTGAAATGCCCTAGATGGCATACGAGCCTGTTTGCGCTTACAGCGCTGTGCCAGGTAGGCGCCACAGATATCGCTCATCTTAACGCAGACGCAGCTCTGGCTTTGCGCTATATCGGTGTACAAAGCGCATACTGCGTTGCAGCACTGTTGGTAATGTTGAAAACAATGTTTCTATGTTCAAGGCAGAGCTGCATCTTCTATACTATATACTGTTGATTCAGCGCTGAGGTAGCGCTACAATGTATGTGTGAATTGACCTTTTCAGTAATTCATTTACACAGCAAGTTTGTTGCTGCTCTGGTAACTCTGAACAGCAACGCGTAACGTTTTCGAAATGTAACGTGTAAATATACTTCTATTACGGTTTCCGAGGTAACGATGGCAGTAACGATGTCACTTTTATTAGGTTTTTTCACCGTTTCTTAAGGATAAAGATAAAATTGAACGAACAGACGATTTGCAATTTTCCCAAGCGCCCCGGCCAGCGCGCGGGGAATTGTGGGAGAGACTGTCCCTCGTCTGGCCGCTCTGCCTTGAGATCGCATTGCTTTGTCGCTTGCCTCCTCTTAATCCTCTGTGTTTTCGATTACATTACCCATTTTTATCTATTCCAGTGTATTTTTTATTGCTTCTAAGTGTTTCTATTCTCTTCTTCGCGCGATATTTCTTGTATACATATAGTATTTGTGTCTTTATTTTGCCTTCTTCAACGGGAGTGCCGACGGACAACACGCCCCTTCGCGCGTCGTTCCCCGGGTGGGTACTACCGTTGCTACCAATTCATATCGCGCTGTTAGCTGTTCATTTTGGTT